CCCCAAGAGACATAACCATCTTAAACATACTTTTGAATTTCTGGTTAAGCAGTTGAAATTTAAGACACAGCTGAGGCTGTTTGGAAGACTTCAATCCATTTGGAAAGCATGGGATCACAATCATGCTATCATGGGATTCCAGTACAGGACTCCTATTTGATTTAGTGCAGATGATGTCTGCGAATGGAAACCCTGTGTTGATATTTTAATCTTCGTCATTCAGCTCAAGCTTGTGTTGAGTGCTTGATTTTATGCCTACTATGCTCACTCATTTGTTTTCCTCTATAAACTGCTTGTCCCAGAAAAGAACAAGCTATTTGCATGTGGTGTTATGGCACTGTTAATGTTTAGATTGTTCAGGTTTGAAGCCCTGAGCACTCACAGCATGCTGAACTGAAGGGCCACTGGCTTACAAAGCAGAGTAAAGCCTCTTGTACTCAATGAACATGCTGCTAAAAAAAAAAAAAGAATGTTTAATGAAGTCATCCCTTTCACAAACCAAGGAACAAAAATAGCACATAGCTAAGGGCATAGCAATAGCTGAGAAGTGGGGTTGAGTCAGTCATATGGGAGAACTTGGTTCTTTTCCTTTTTTGTATAACTTCCTGCGGTATGAGGCATAAGTCATGGAACTGTCATGGGCAAACAGCATCATGCTCCTGTCAGTGCAGAAGCTGAATTTTAAGTGAACACACCCAAATTCTAGGTTTTACCGTATTTATGTCCTTTGGGAATTGTTCTATAGAGGGAAAAAGGATTGTGCCACAGAAACTGCTGCCTGAGAGGCAGCTGGGAGCGAAGAGCTGAGCAGGCCTTGCTACCTGACAGCACAGCACGGCTTCACCTTGTGTTGGGAGCAGAGCTGTTCACAGGGCAGGAGACCTCATCTAGTCTAAAAAAGTGCATGAATGCTTGGGTTCACCTTCACACTGATGGGAAGTCTCACGTGTGTGTTGTGTGGGGACAGCTGTGGCTTAGACATGGCCTGCCAGGTGGGGTGTGTTCTGTTGTCGCCTGTAGGAGCTGAGAATGTGTTACGTCTTACCAGAGCAGGCTTCAAAGAGCAGTGCACAGCTGTGATGATGTAACTTCATCCCTATTTGGTCACAAACATTTCATCCTGCTTCCTTAAATCCCACACACTTTTCTTGAAAACATTTATTCTTCCTCCCTCTGAAGAAAGAATATCTTGAATCTGTGTTTATGTTGTTGCCATGACATTGATGTATGCAGTTGCAGATTCTGTTAATAAGAGAGAAAAAAAAACAACTGTGTACTTCATGAACAAAGATTACTCTGTGTTTGTATTACAATGTTGCTATGGCAGTGCATATGGTTTTATTTGGTAGAAATTTGTGGTGAGATGGAAGGAAGTCACATGTATGGAAGACAAACAAGAAATACAGCAAAACCAATTCAAAATAAATACTGAAACTGAAAGGAGAGTTGCAGATGACATATAAAACCAGGAGAATACAAGGACAGTTGTTTTGCTGCCTGTCTCTGCGGTCTGATAGCAGAAGCATGTCCTTGCTGTGCCCTGCCTGGTCTCTCTGGCCCATAGAGCAGTGGCTTTGCTCCAGTGATGCTTTTACTGAGTGCTTCTTGCCCTCGTTGGCTCTGTGTATCATAACATATTTTGTTGTTGTTGTTTTGAAAGCAGAATTCCACTGCGTTGGCCTGATTACCCAACTGCTAACTTTTCCTGCCTATTTTAATACAGTAGACTGTTGAGCAGGAAAATTAATACGGTGGTAATATGTGGAAATAATCTAGCACTTTACCTACCTTTGGGGCAAAGGCAAGTCTTTTTGCCCTTGCTGACTCCTGCTTGTGCTAGAAATGATGGACTTTTCTTTAATTGGCGCAGTAGTCCTCATGTTTGTCTAGTCCTTCTGCATGAGGCTACTTTTTGCATCAGTTGCATCAGGACAGCTGTTGGTGGTGTGACAAATTAGAACAAGTTAAAAATAATCTGCCACAGAAGCAGGATAGAAGTGAGGAGGGAGAGCGAGTCTCAGTTTAGAGAATAAACTGCTACTGCTACTGCACTGAGAGCTTGCTGGTTGCTGTGTGATCCCAGCTTATGAAGAAAGCAAAAGTATTTCTCAAATCACATTGTGCTTTCTTTCTGTCATTCCACTTCTGTCACAAGCAGAAAGAAACAAGCGTGAAAGCTGCCCGTTGCCTTTCCACTCTTTGCTTCCTGGTTCTCTGCTGAATCATGTCCTAACCCCAGAGGTTGTCTGTTTTTCCAGGAGTGCCTGTAGGGGACTTGCCAGGTGCTGTAGAGGCACAAGTGAGGAAAAGGTGTCTGAGGCACAGACATTCCGGAAAAAGAGCTAAGTGATGGCAAAGAAGGCTTATCTGGGAAATCCCCATCACTTTTGTATCTGAGCTCTGTGATCTCCCTTTATTAATCTTTTTTCACAGCTTCAACTTTAAGCTGTGCTTGGGCATCCTTATTGGTTTTAATGGGGTTGCTCCACTGCAGTGCAAGTATCTACTTCTATAGAGGAAAATGTGTCTTCCTGTTTTAAGTTCTCATTAACAACTTGGATTTATGGCTACACTGTGTTAGTGTCTGATCTTGTTAGATTTATGAGATTTTTAGGATCTAATCTGTTTGGTTTGAGTTGCTAAAGGACCTCGGTGGTTTCAGAGAAGCAGCTGCTTTGAATCTGCTGACCCACTGGTCTCCATTTGATCAGATGTGGAAACAGTGTTCTCAAAATGTTGGTGAACCACACTCTTGACTGTTTGACTGACATTTATAACAGTCTCTTCATTCCTGTTACTAAAACTATGGCTGCTTTCACCGTGATGGTAAGTTGTCAGTGTCTCTATCCTAACTCACTTCCCATTTGCACAAATCTGTGCACCCTACTTACAAAGGTATTCCATCCAGTGAGTGAAAGCCTTACAAGAGCTTGTGTGATGTTTCCGTTCTGGATGGTTGCTGTGTTCCATCTGGTAAGTGGTTGTACTTCAGGACAGATGAGGTTGCTTCTGTGAATGGTGCCTTGGGGTCTTCCAGGACATTCTCCAACATAAATTGCGTATGTAGAATTCATAGCTCTGTAGTTTTTCTAGGGAAAAAAAGAGTCATTGCATACTGGATACTGTCTATTTGGTTTCTTGGTTTTTGGTCTTCATGGGACAGTACACATTGGTGTTTATTGTGTAAATTTGTTGGCTGGATTTCTATTTTCCATATACCGAATCTCACCACGCTGCAGTGTAGCACAGTTGTTCCTTAGCTGAAATGCATTTATAGGTATCTCCAGAATGAACTGTGTTGATGCTTTCTCAATGGCCTCCCCTGTATTTCTGTGTGCTGTTTTCTACGAGGATATGTAACACTGAGGAAAGAATGGTGAAGATGAAAACAGGGACACGTCTGTGTGAAACACAATCTGGAGGCAGATTGCGGGACAAGTGCACAGCTGTCCCTCGCTGTGGGCACCCATGTAAGCAGTGCCACCAGCTCACCGAGGCTCCCCCCAGCAGCAAGAGGTGGGTCTGCTGCCTGGAGCATCCTGGTAGATGTGGCTTTGCTGCAGCTCCATGATAGCTTATATGGAGCTTATAGCAGTCCTTGTGGCAGGCTCAGAACGGGTTAACTAGTGCCTGGCTGGCTGTGCCAGAGAGATGTTGGCTTTTCCTCCCATCTGCTCCTCTTCAGCCTCCCTGCTCATTCATGAGAGTGCTAGCAGAGTCCTGCTGGAAAGGGCGTAACGTAGTGAGGGAGCGCTGCTTTCTGCTGGCTTCTGCCTTTCGTGTGCTTCCCGTGATGCAGCACTTCGGGAAGCATGAAGTTTGTCTTCACTGTGTTGCCTTCTTCAGTAGGGAGCGTATGTATATATTACACGTAACCCTGATAGTACAGCAGGTACCACCATCGGGCCCTTGTAAGTGACTGCATTGGATAGAAGAGACCTCCGACAGTCCTAACGGTGCAGTTCGACAGGAGTTCCTTGTGGCGGCAGCAGCAGCCTCGGCAAAGCGCCGTGCCACGCTCCATCCTCGGGTGACCCCGTCCTCCCTCCGCGGGGCTGCTGGCCGGGGGCTGCTGGCCGGAGCAGCCGTGATAAGCAGCGTTTACTGACTGCTTACAGCTGCTGTTCGTTGGTCATGTTCCTCGTGCCTTCTTTGCAATTCTGTTAGTATTCATCATGAAGGAAGGATTTGGATGTCTTAGATTTTGACCAAGATGTAAAATCATATCTGTGTTCGTTTATCCTACCTGTAAGCCCTCCTGCTTACACCTGAAGGAACTCCTCTTTTTATCATGGACATTTTCGCAGCAATATCTAGTGTTGGAACAGCAGGGACGTTTCAAAGCACGTGCAGAGGTGTTGACTCTGCTGACTCCTTACACCATACTGGGAGTTGTGGGCTTGTCATTTTGCTGTGTAACTGAAATACAACAAATGAAAAGAGAATGTTGTTGATGAGCAGCTGGTGAGGAACAACTCTGGAAGATTTGTAGTTCATTTTCCTCTCTTTATAACAGTGTAATTTTATTTAGTACACGTTACTCCAAAATCTGCATGTCCTACTCATGCAGCCCTTACTCTCCACCAGAACTCTTCTTTGAGCAGAGATGACAGACGTACCTCTCTGCCTGATGGGACATGGAAAGCCCAGCACATAGGCTGCAAAACCTCAGGCCTGCACCTGTAACCGCATACCAGATGGGAGTAGGAGGGGCCATGGGTGCTTGTGTACGTGCGTGTTTAGGCAAACAGCCTGTGCGTGTAGCACAGTGTAGTTATAGCTATGTGTGGTTTGTAGGAGAGCTGCATTAGGTCATTTTGAAGGTAGGTGTTACACAGGTGTACCTGTAGGTGGAGGTGGCCCAGGCTGGGCAGGCAGCACTGTGTCTGCACACAGCACACTCTTCTATCCATGCAGTAGCCCCGTGAGTAAATGTGATTTCTCAGCGAAAGGTGATGTAAGGAAGTGTTCAGTGTCAGATGTTACCAAAAAAAACAGAAGCACTTCACTGTGTTTTACGCTCTTGCTGTCAACAAGTATTGTACAGACAGGTTTAGGTGCAGCTAAGACTGGTGGCCAGGTGGTAAATTCCAAAACAGCTGAAGCTGTGAACGCCTCCGGGGAGAAAACTTGACTGAGCAGAAGAGAGACAGCTGTAATTTTTTCAGGCAAAGCATTAACTGCCAGCGAGATATTTGGCCATTTATTTTATTGAAGTATTTATGCCTAATCAAATGAGAAGTGAACTCTTAACCACTTACACATCTGCTTCACAATTCCAAAACCACACCATCAGTTGCTGCTTTATAGAAGTGCTTTCCTTAGTAAAGGCCACAGGAAGGGCTTATGCCAGAAGACTGACGATGAGGAGGAAAAAATGGTGCTGCAGGTTTCCTTTCAGTCTTATCTGTAGTACAGCTTTATGCTAACCAGCATAGCACAAACGGTTCACACAGCTTTCTCAGTTCCTGCTGTAGATTATTTTTAAGTGTCACTTTCTTAATGCACGCCAGCTAGCTATCTTAGGACTCCCTTGGTTCACTAAATGTCATCCCCATCCCTGAAGTGTAGTTACATATTTAATAAGTGGGAAGGGAAGGCGGAGAAGGGAGAAGATTGGCTGCTTTGCCTTTTACTCTATTGGAAAAGTACTTGAAATTCCTCACATTCTTCTCCTGTTAACAGTATGTTTACTTTTCATCACTGGGTTATTAGGATTAACAAAAGTCATTGCTTCAAGCTCATTTAATTTGAATTTAGTGAAAGCCAACTACCTCCTGCAGACTGTAGGAAACATTCTTCTTCCACTGAACTCCATTAATTTGCAGAAAGCAGCCACCAAAAATGTGAGACCTGCCCACCGCTCCCACCCCAGTGCTCAACATCACTGTGCACACACTGCATTCTAATGAAGTGCCTTATGTTGCAAATTCCAGGACAGTTTGAATAATCTGACAGACTAATTAACATTTCAGTCTCTCTTCCAAACGTTTGCTTTCAGTGCCAGGAAGCTTTCTCTGTATACACTTTCTAGTGCACAGGGTGACAGATTGCATATACCACTTCAAAATACCATTTACCCAAAGACTCAGCTTACTCATTCATTGCTGTACCTGGGGTGGAGCCTGTTTTGGTTTCCAGACGATTCCAAGTGGTCCTGGAAAGGAGCTGAAGTCTGTTGCCTTTCAAGATGCTCTCTACTAAGAATAGTTAGGTAAATATTTCTTTATTAAATGATTAATTCCATAAATAAATTCTTTTAATTCATTGAATATAAAATTAAAATCATTTACAACTTATTCCAGTATTACAGGGGTTCGAAGGGGTTAAAAAAAAAAAAAAAAAAAAGAAAACAAGAGCTACAGTTTGATAAATAAAATACTCAGCTTTAAAACAACTGATTTCTGTTTGCCATTAAACTACAGTTGGTACATAATAGCTGCCACTGTGAACACCCCACAAGTGCCCACCTCAGGAAGGAATGTAACTTCCAACTTGGTTGGGAAAGTAGGGGAGAAGATGGAGGGGAGGGGAAAAGCATAGTGTTAAACTGAACAGGAAAGGAAAAGTTTTCATAACCGGAATAAAACATCAGATCACTTACAAACAGAAAACAGTATAAGATAAAGGTGCTCCAAAAAGAAGCAGTAAAGTTGCTCCAGTACTATGAAGCTTTAACTATGCTTAAATCTCTGTTGCATTAGTGTCCATTTGCACAGTGCACTCTTGTAATATCTCATATTGCCCTCGAATGGGCAAGGCACCACTTCCATCAGAGGTCCTTTCTCCATGGCTGGTTACTTCAGAATTCTGTTTAACATCCCACCCCAAATACTACTTAGTCCCTAAATTTGTGGATGTCATTGACCAGTCTGTAGAAGGGATAAGCTTCGTTTGCATGCGGACAGTTGTAGTTGCAGCGGCAGGACTGGATCATCATGACACTCTTGGTGAAGGTTTCTCCATCATCGCAGCGGAACCGGATCTTGACAGTCCTGGTCTGCTGGGGAGTACAGCACCTGCCATCCACACAAGACCCACAGTACTTGGGGCGGTACTTCTTCACACTGGAGCATCCAGCATAAGTAAACCTTACGGGGGATGGGGACTTCTTAGTCTTGGTACATTTTTTTCCTTTCTGTAAAGAAAAGACAATGACATCATTAGTGGGAGATCCTTGTCCTGCCTTTACCCTCTACTTGAACCAGTTTGGAAAGAAAAGGAGCACCAGAGGTGTTTGTATTTACCTTTAGGGAGGCGTAGCTGGGCTGGCCACATGGCCTCACTTCACATATCCTGGTCTCCTTGATGAGCTTGCAGTCGGGATTGTCGTTGGTGACTCTGGTGGAGATGCCGGTCCCACACGTCTTTGAGCACTGGGACCAGGAAGTTGTTTGCACAATGCATTTGGGGTTCTCAAAAGCTCGGCTTTGTGGCTCAGATCCAAAAACTGGAAAAGAAAAGGGGGGCTTAGACTACCTCTGCCTTCTCCCTGAGTTTCTTTCCGTCAATCTAAAGAGTCACACAGCTTCCCTCCCACCTCAGCTTCTGCCGTCACACGGATCAGCACACACTCACCAGGTAGCATCTTCAGGCCTCCCTTCACAATGGCAATCAGCTCGTTGTTCCTGGTCAGTTCGCCCTCAGAAGCGTCCAGACCAAACTCCTTGCTGAAGAAGCCCTCCAGCTCCTCCAGCGCATCCTTGCTCTCATCGCAGACCCACTCCTCGCAGCACTGCCCAGGCACTTTGACCAGCCTGGGGCTGGGGCAGCCCAGGTTGGGGAGGGAGAGCTCCTGCGGGCAGAGCGGGATGCAGCCCACAGCTCCATCTATGCACGTACACTGGTGCTTGCAGTTGGGCTGGAAGCTTTCGCCGTTCTGGTAGATTTTGGAGTTGTATTCGCACGGTCTCCCCTCAGACTGTGCTGCAGAGAGCAAAAGAGAGAGAAGAGGGTGTCAGCACCGGGAATCGGTCGTTTAAAGACACATATTTTGCTGCTCTGTTAAATTCGGTTTATGGTAAAGTTCCCTACAGTCCCCCGGAGACGCGGGGCTAGAACAATAAGTTAGTCAGGAATCACTTTTCCTTATGTGCTTTTAGCGGAGCCCAGACATACTGAATCGCATTCCAGACTGCTGAAGTCATGTGCCTTTCTGCCAAGCTACCAACAACAAAGCATAACCATACATGGACTCAAAGTTACTAAACTCCGGCACTCCGCACCGTGCTGCGGGCAGCTCTTACCTCTGCAGATGCCCTTGGTGGCTGCGGGGCTGGCGCCGAAGTTGCACTCCAGCCCCTTAGTGTGGTCGCAGGGCTGCGTCCGGCTGCAGTCCTCGTTCAGCTGCTTGGCGCAGACCTTGCAGCAGCCGCAGCCGTCCGGCACCAGACCCACGCCCGGGGCGCACTGCGGCGCGGCGGCCGGGCACTGGCAGACGGTGGGGCACAGAGAGCCGAGAGCCTGCGGGGCGAGCAGAGAGGAGCGGTGAGCGCCGGCACCGCCGATCCGTTATCCCCAGCCCTCCCGTAAAGCCTCGAGGGCGGCACTTACCAGGCGGGCCAGGCAGAGCAGGGCGGCCGCCAGCGCGGGGCGTGCTCCTACGGAGCCCATGTCTTAGCGGCGCGGAGCGAGAGCGCAGCTCGAGATGCAATCGCGAAGCGGGGCCGGCGCGGTCTGAGGCAGCGGCGGGCGCGACCGCCTTTTATGGGTCGCGGGGCCGCCGCGTGCGCCTCGGCGCTGACGTCGCGCGTTCCGGGCCGCGGCCGCGTCCAGCGCTCGCGGCATCCCAGGAATGCGGCTGGCGCGCGGCGCGGCCGCTCCGCCCCGCCCCGTCTCCCTGCACCGCGGCCGCTGGCGGCGGCTCTGCCGCGGGGGGTCACCGCGCCCGCCCGGTCCGGGCACCGCGCCGCTTTGCGGGGCTGGGGGCTGCCCGGGGGGCCTCTCCGCGTCCCTCCGGCCCCGCCGGCATCGCCGCGGACGCGATCCCGTTACTCGGGCGTCCGTGGGGGCGAGCGCTGCGCGGGGGCGCCGCTGGATCGGGCCCCGGGACCGGAGCTGCGGACGCCGAGCGGGACGGGCCCCGCCGAGACGGCCGCTGGCTGCGGTGCCCCCGTGCTGCCCCCCTCGGGAGGACGCGCTCCCGGTACCGGTTTCCCGGTGGAGGTTCGGGGCTGGGGCCGGGAAGGAGCGTTTGGGCTTCTGTTGTGGCGCCCTTTCTCTGCGTGGCCGTAAGTGCTTCCAGATGGGGATTCAGCCACCAGACGTAACAATATTTCCATATTTGGTATAGCAGTAGCCCGCATTTTTCACATTTTTCTGCTCTGTTATCCAACCGCAAAGCATTCTTGACAGCTTCAGATGCTGTTAAATATAGCCCTCGCTGCCGTTCCCAGGGCAGGAAATTCTCTGGAATTCCTGCTTTTCACGCAATCTGTCCATCATGATTTAGGAGCGCAGCGCCGGAGCAGCCAACTGGCGTTACCCCGCCGCGGGTACTGCGAAAAGCGGAGCTCCATCCGCGCTCCAGCGGCGTGACCGCGAGTCCCCATCGCAGGGATTCCTTACAAGCGAGACCCGTTCCTTACACCGGTTTGGGGTGGGCTACGGGGGAGGTTTTTTTCTTCCTTTTCGGTTGCTTTCGAGGATGGAGGTGGAGGCGCGCAGAAGAGCCCCGCGCAGCGGAGGGGTGGGGAGGGCGGGCTGCGGGCACTGCCTGTCCCCTGGCGGCGCGGCCCCTTGGGCGGGCACGGCTGCGGGCACACGGGCGGCCTGCTGCTGTCCGCTGGGGGACGGCGTCACGGCGACGAACGGGACGCGCACGGCTTGGTAAGTCGGGGTCGGGGAGGTGCGCGCTGTTTGTTCGCTTTTGTGTTTTAGCACCGACGGCCTCGTTGGACCCCGCCGCAGAAAAGAGGCTGTTGTTGCCCTGCAGTTCTGCGCCGGGCTCGGCGTTGGTGGGCGACGCGGGCTGCCGGCGCGGCGCGGGGACGAGAGAAGGGGCACGATGCGGTGGGGGCCCTGCGACTGGCGGAGCCCCGACGGCGGCCGCCTGCGGGCACGCAGCGCTCCGTTCGGCCCCGACGTGCGGCCGCATCCCCGGAGCGGAGCGGCCCCTCCGCCCGTACGGCCGCACACACGTGGGGGAGAAGCCTGAGGCCCGAAGTGGTGGCGGTTCCGCAGCGGGCGCGCGTCTCCAGACCCGGCTGGAAAGGGAAATCCCGTCCTTAGTTACGCTCTCCTGAGAGTGCCGTGCGCTGCCACTGCAGGCGGCAGGAGTCACTGGTCGCGTTCGTTAAGTTAGACGGAGCCCACTGGCAGCTGAGGCGGCTACCAGTGATGTTGGTACCCGCTGCCATTCCCAGCCCTCAGCTCCAGTTGCGAGGAGGAGGAGCGACGCTCGGTCCCTGTCTTAGAGCCTGCGCTTCCCTGGCTCCTGCGGCTGCTTTCTGGGCACGGCTCTTTTCTAACGGCCTAACGTTGCCTTTCAGGTGGAACACCCTGCAGGTGCTTTTTGTTCAAAGTGACTCTACAGGGCAGCTTTGTGATCAGATGGAACAACATTGTCATTCAGTGCGTTTTTGTTACTGAAAACTTTGAAAACATTGAGGTGAGAAGAGCTGCTGCACCAGCGTGTGGTTAAATTGGACCGTTTTGCTTTTCAGGGATTTATGCAAACACTCATCTATTTAATTACATCTAATTTAAGGACGTGCATCAAGCATTCTGCTTTGATCTGTGGCTTTCACAACATTCAGCAAATGCCACAGGAAAGCCAATGAATGGCGCTTTTCTCAGTTTGTTTCATGTCTTACCACACATCCACACGACTGATGGGAAACTGTAAACGAACTTACATTTGCTCAAAAAAAAAAAAGAGGTCACTTGGAAAGCTTTGAAGTGCCTTTTGACAAATCTGTCCTGAATTTCAAGCAGCTGACAACGTTTGAGGTTGGACCATGAACCTTTCATACACTTCCATTGCACACAGTTCCCTGTCACAAACTGTGACCTGGTGTTTACATCTCAGGCTGCGACTGTGCCTGCAGGTGTACATCGGGAGACAGGAAAAGGCTGGGATCATCTTTCATAGGCTTTGTTAAGCGTAACATCAAGTTTCAGACTTTTGCTGTCCTAAGGAAACTGGGAAATATTCCCAGCTCTGTGTAATGAAGAGCATCTTTCTGTCTCCCGAATTGTGTGCCATATGCAGCAATAGCTGTTGGTAAGGTGAGGTGGGCTGAGAGCATGGTTAAGCAGGAGTTTGGAACAGTTGGTTAATGCACCAGGTATTGCAAGTTTACCAGGTACATACCGTCATTTCCACAGGCCTTTATTTCCCCAGAGAAAGAAGTTTCTGGAGAAACAAACCAAGAAGAAACCCTGATGAATAACACAGTTTCTCTTCCTCCACCCGAGGTCATCGTTCCATGGCCGTGTGCAGGGACTCTGGAGAGGTGCAGGCACTGTATGGGACAGCAGCCCTCCACACAGCAGTGTGCCCAGTGGCAGCAGGCATCTGGTCTGAGGTAGAGAACATCAGAACTTTACAGTCACATGATTTCTGGGAAAGTTCTTACCAAAACCAACATCCAACCCTTGCTTTTGTACTGTCTGTAATTTCCTCTTTCCCATTCTCTCTTTCCTTTGCCCATCCTTTACTAGGCATTTCTTCCATCTCTCCTCCTCTTTCTTCTCCTTTTCCCTGTTCCAGGCTTTTTCCTGACGACCTTTCCTCTCCTAATGTTTACCTACCTTTGCTTGGGCCTCTCCTACTGCTCCTGCCAGGCCGCTGGTTCCTGCTGCACTAAATCAGTTCTTCCAGAGTCAATGGCTCCTCTCAGTGACTCACAGGAGGTGCAAATCCAGCGGGGCAAATTAAGCATAGCAACATAGCAGCAGAATAGCCAGAAGGCTTCAGCAGTTCAAATCCAAGTGGGTTCAGACTTTTTTTTTTTCTCGCTTTGATTTTCCCAGTTCATGCTGAATTTTTGGAGTATGGTATTTCCTATTTATTTTCTTCCTTTTCCCCACTGCCCTCCCTTTAGCTATGCTCATGCCTGTCAGTTTTTGTCCAGTATGTGCTTTGCCTGTGGTTTCTAATATTTGTGGGTTTGTGCTTCACAGCTTCTATGTACTGAGAGACACTTTGCTCTATAGGCACACTGATTTTACCTCTGGCTGCTGTCAAGGAGTTGCAAAGGTTCCTCTTCTGTGAATGTGAAAAGGGAACTTGTGAGCCTGCTGACCCTGCAGGAACCCAGACAAGTACAATTTGCAATATTATTCAGTTGCTCTCATTGCTTCTTCAAGAACCATCCCTGCAGATGGTCACTGGCAGTATGTGCTTCATGGCTTCTCACCCAGAACTGAATGCAGAAAAGGAAACAGCTGACATCTGCTTAGCTCCTTCAGCTTGTTCATAGAGCCCAAAGCTTTTTTTTTTTGCTGCTGCTCAAGGAGATGGCATTCAATTTACTTTAATGCTACAGTAGCAGCTGCTGCAGCACTGGGAAAGCATTCAGTTTCCCCAGCAAGGCAGGTGGATTACTAAGGTACCTTAACCTGCTCTCGCATGCGTGTGCTTTGACACCAGGATATGCTCAGAAGACAGTATTTGCAACAGGCACTTCCCTGTATGTGAAGTTTTCAATGAAAAGACTGTTAAAGGCTTTGGCCTAAGCTCTTCTTGCTGTGTAAATAAGTAATGAAAGTCACGTGGTCCTGGCCAGCATCTGGATGCACGTGGACTTCCAAATCATGTCTATCTTCTTTATGCAGTGATTCTACTTGAAAATATAAGTTGAAATCTCTCTTTATGTATCTTACAAAAATTCTTTTTGCAGCTGTGTATTGTGAGTTTTGCAGAAGGAAGCTGAGGCAGCAGGTCTGCACACAGCTGCTTTCCCAGCACCAGCTAAAGAGAAAGTCTTGGACATGGATCCCATATGACCTCAGGAAAAACTTTTTCATAGCTTCCAGCTTTGGCTCTCAGCGTGCAGGATTCCCCTGTGGAGCAGTATTGCATGTAAACTGACATCTTTATTAAAATGAAATGAGCAAGCTCAAAGGAAAATTGGTCATGATCACGAAGAGTTACTGGAGCAGGGTTAACCTGATTGCAATCAATAGAGCAGTGCCTGAGCAATTCTTAATCAAAGAACACTTGTGGGCTGTAGTCCATAATAGTTTTCAGCTGTTGCCTGCCTCAGTTCACCTTACTACACCTTAGAGTCATTTGCCTTCTGTCTCTATCTGTGCTGTGGAGCTCTGCAGCCCAGAATGTCTGCTCTGCAGTACATTCAGGTTTGTTTTTACATTTCTACATGTAAAATACGTGCCAAATTATTCTTTCCCAATGGGTATTGTGTTTCATTATAGTCATCATCAAAGTTCTATTCCCTTAAGGTCAGGTGATATCAGTACTAGCAGAACTTTCTGTCTTTGTTCTGGTGCTTTGACTTCCTCTCTTCTACTAATGACCCAGGGATACGTTTTCTTGTCACTGATAGGTGGGTGTTCAGAGGATTTGCCTGGGTTTTGGTTTTAAGAACATAGCTTTGTAGGCGTGCTTTTTAGTGTGTTTGTTTAAAAAGCAGTTCTTTTTCTTTGAGTACAAGTAGAAGGAA